AAGTAGTTATTTTTTTCCTAACAATGTCTTTGCAAACTGTGTGTGACCTAAAAAGAGAATCAGATGTTCTGTTTTAGTTTTTTTTCTCCCCTTTCCAAAGTGCCTAGTTCTGCTTGTCTACTCTTCTGCTCTAATACTATCACCTTTCCCTGACAATGCCTAGGCAACGTAAGTATCCCCACACCTTTTTTCTGATCACTGCTACTAATTTTACCAAGTCAACTGAATAACTTACAGTGGAGTAACCAAAACTAAGTTAACTCAATGCTTACTTTACTGAAACAAGGTACAGACACCACCAGACTGGGGGTGCCTGATATCCCCCAAGGATGGGGGGGTTCTATAAAGGTTTTCAACTGCACTGCTGTCTCTAGGTATGTGTTTGATTTCCAAGGAAAAATAACTTCAGTGGCTTATTTGGGACTGCTAGAGCAGCCATCAATTAGCACACGGTACAGTTTGCAGTGAAGAGAGGTGGCTTATCCTACAGAAACCACTTCACCTGCATTAGAGTGAAGTCAATCAACTCACATGTGTAACACCAAACAGGTGGTTACTACATATAACTCTACCTCTTGGTATGCTATCTCTTCATTGCCACAGAAATTAATTTACTTAAATTTATGAAGTTTGTAAAGACACATAATCTACTCACCAACTTTTTTTTTGCGGGCCATTTTTTTAATTGAAGGCCATCATACCTGAACTTTTATTTCACAGAATCACAGAATATGCTGAGTTGGAAGGGAACCATCCCCAACAGTCACACAGTTTGAAAATATTGTTCAAACGCTTCTTGAACTCTGTCAGGCTTGGTGCTGTGACCACTTCCCTGGGGAGCCAGTTCAAGTGTCCAGCCACCCTCTGGGTGAAGAACCTTTTTCTCATATCCAACCTAAACCTCCCCTGACACAACTTCAGGCCATTCCCTCAGGTCCTGTCACTGGTCACCACAGAAAAGAGATCGGTGCCTGCCCCTCCTCTTCTCCTGACAAGGAAGTTGTAGACTCCAACGAGGTCTCCCCTCAGTCTCCTCTTCTCCAGGTTGAACAGACCAAGTGACCTCAGCCACTCCTCAGACGGCTTCCCCTCAAAGCCCTTCGCCATCTTCATTGCCCTCCTTTGGACACTCTCTAAGAGCTTAATATCTTTCTTATATTGCAGATCTGTTCTAAATTTAAAGAAGTTTGCTTTGCAGTTCCCTTCCATGGATACAATAGAATTTGTGCATTCAGTAACTAGTACGAAGAAACTGAAATATTAAAAATGGAGTTGTATTTATCTTATGGGAAACTCTTTACCTTTTAAGACACTGTCTTAGAATCACAAGAAATTTTTTAATTAATATATTTTTGTCTATTGCTTATGTACTAGTCAGTTCCATGCCAAGACAGCACTAAATCATAATACGAAGACCCCCTATAGACCTAGAATTTGCTGAATTTAAAGTATATGAATATAGACAAAAATCACAGTTAAAACAGAATTCAAAGTAAGTTAGACGTAAGATTTATCATCATAAACCCTGATGAAATCGGGGTAAGTCAAATGGGGACACTACTAAATCAAATCAACTTTTCAAATTAAGTATCAGTTTTTGAGATTAAACTTGAAATGTAACTTGAAAGAAATACTAAACCAAAAGACAGGGAAAACAATAACCTGCCAGCTTTATGATATTAATCTTGAAGAAATATATGAAGGTCATCAAGGCAATAAGATGTTTGATAGCCATGCAATACTTCCCCCTCCAAGAGTTACATAAATGTCTTTGTAGCTAGTGATAAAGAACAATTCTGATCTTTGCTGGCCCTTGGCTCGGTCACAGATTCGTATTTATTACAATTATCACATGATGCACCAACATGATGTGTGCACTAAATGTATTCCTTAACAATAAAAGAAGTGCAGATACACAGAGACTCATGTAAGAATATTAAAATGATCTGACAAGCAGGCCCTCATTCTCATTCCCGTGAAGGAACAGTGCCCTAGTAATTTAAAAGGGCATTGAAGATCAAGGAAAATCAACTTTCAGGCATAATGTAAATAAAACATTTGCCTCTGTGTCTTTCTACTACCTCTGATTCCAGTAAAATATTTCTCCCACAGTAATAAAGAAAATTAGGTTAGGTTTTAAAAATACAGAAGCTCTGTACTGTAGCCAAATTAAACTATTCCAAAATACACTGTATTTGTAACTCATTTAACAGTCAGCAAGTTTGGCCGCTGACATTGTAATTTGCTAATAATGCTTTTTAGGATTTTAGTCAGCCACCCAACTTGTAGTCCAATGATTTTTTAACACATGTTGGGATTTTTTGGGGTTTGCTTTGTTTTTTTTAAAGCAGAGAAATAAGTGGTGACCTACCAACAGTGTTCTTCCTTCACTAACAAGTAAAAGATTAGGATTTAGCTGATGGCGTGGGTTGCTTTTTCCTAAGGCCAGTGTAATGGAAACATTGCAGAGGTTTCAAAATCCCACAGTAAGCATCTGTATCAGCATTACACTCCTCTTTCCTCCTTTACCAGTTAAAGATGACCATAGAAAGGTTGTGAGAGAAATGCCACCAGCTCCTGCAGAGCCACGAAGATAGCACCCTCACCCTCAGTATTTTCTAAGTGCACAAAAGAATTTGTAAGTAGGTATCAGAACTGTATTTCTAATCCAGCCTCACAAGCTCTGCCAGCTATGAGACGGATGTGACCCCACCAACCTGAAAAAGGTTCATCTAATGCTAGCACAAAAATGTTCTTCTGGGTAAAGTAACTACTGTTGTTGTGCAGCATATAAAACATATATGCAGCAAAAACACAGCAACTTTTAAAACTCCTGTTCATTGACTCTATTAGTGTCATTTATTTTCAAGGAATGATGGAGGGGCAGATAAAAGTAGGGTGTATTTTTAGCAACTATCTTTCTATTAAGATGACACTTGTCTGTTTTAAATCATCAATACCTGTGAGGAAAAGGTTGTTTAATCAGATCAATGACACAGCTTGTTCCTGAGTTTCAAGTGTCTGCTCTAAGACTGAAAGCGTGCAAACATTGGTAAGTCACTTAGCTGTTACATTTTCAGGTAAATCATGAAATGAAAAGCACAGACACACTCAAGGAATATTTAAGTATCAAATGCTACTTCATAAAGGGCCTTGAACATGAAGAATTATGCAAAGATTGTATTTACTATTATAAAAAATAATCTCAGAATAAACCAAAATCAAGACAGTGGAAAGACGTGGAGGGAACAGACATAGAAAAAAGCCCTAAAAAACTTCCCCTAGCCTTCTAGGAAAAAAGGTAGTAGGATACAGTTTTATGTTTCAGGACAGTAGACTTAATCCTAGATATATTTTTTTATCCCCATTTCTGTTTTGGTTTTGGACATAACATGAGATTTAACATTCTCCTTGTCAAAGGCTGTAGAGAGGCATAATTTTTTTTTTTAAGGAAAATCACACTACCATTATTGCTGTAATTCAGTGTCTTCCTTGTTTTTTCTGATCCTTTCAGTACCATTTTACAAAGCAGGATTGGGAGACACATTGACTGTTACTAATCAGTGAAGTAAGTTTTACGTTAATTTATTTTAAATGTGTCATTACTTTATTTCCTTGGTCTGATGTCTTATTTTAGTGTATTAATAGATATCATAAACCAGTCAGTCTGCACTTTTCAGCAAGCACAGCTCAGATCTGTATGACAGTGGTGGTGGTGGGTGAGGGCAGAGGGGAAACACACAAATTTTAGGACAACTGTCTAATTTTATCTGTGTACAACCACAGTTTTAACTTCTAGCCACTTCAGTCTGTGAGCAAATGCCCAAGTTTTGGTAAATTCAGTCCACTGAGGTCAAATGAGTTCCTTCATGCACATACCTAATTTTCCCTCACTTCCATGTGCTGATGAATCATTTTTTCCCAAAAATGGTCTGGAAAGAGGGAAAATAAACTATGACCCGCAACACTGAAATTCCCCACTGTGACAGAAGCTCAGCAAGCCCTTTAGTGACAGGGACCGTTTCCTCTGCTTCAGGCTCAGCACCAAGAGCAGAGAGAACAGAAAAGCAAAACACTGAGTGCTAGAACAGACCTGTGGCATTGCTGCTGACCATAGTGCCAATTAGACAAATCATAACACACTCGACTGTGTTCTCTGAAAACCCGAAATCACATAGTAACTGTAACAGTATGTGTTTTTGCCATAGCAGTTCACATGAAATGTATATTTTTAGTCAAAGTCTAATTCAGACTTATGTGGCTACTGAGGACAGCTGAGTTTGTAGCCCTGCAATTTTAATATACTCTTTTTGATTAATACGTTTTCATCAATGTACTATGTATTTATGATTTGCACCTTCACAATCTACTACATATCTCTTGTCAGAACATTTCTGACCAGACTGAAACTGTTTACAGATTTTTGTCTGTGTTATACACACAGGTACCGCTCCACCTGATGTATATGAAGGACAGAATACCAAATGTACTACCATCTTTAATGAAATACTGCTTATATTTTTTTCCTCCTAGAAAATATATTAGTAGTGCAGGTATGCATCTGGTTACATAAAAATATCAGAGGTTCTAACGGAATGTGAAAAGACAGAGCAATTTCAGCACTGTCTGGGTCTCAGAATTTTAAACAACGTGTTTTCCTTAGATTGGCTCTACATTTTCTAAACTTAATAGTTTCAACTGAAATTATTTTATACAAATTTATTTGAGTCGAATAAAGATACTTAAAGTTATTTAATTTGATTTTTTCATACTCATCTTTATTAGCTGTGAAATATTTGAGGCAGCATATTTAGTTGTATAATAATGGCAAACTATCGTGAAACAATTACTTTTGCTACACATGCTCTGCTTATACAGAGAATGAAAACGTTGACTGCTGCATTGCAAAACTCCTGAATCTTGCTGATATAAATGTATTTTCTAACTTGTTACAGGTGATCACATTCTTGCTTATAAATTTCATAAAAGGAAATACTTACTACTGTGCACAGTCAATCAGCTGATATTCGTTTGACCTCTCGAAGCATGCCTTTACGCCTTCATCATCCCAGAGCTTTTTTGCATGTTCAAAGAATTCCTGAAAATTAGAAATGCAACAAATAAGACAACAATTCTCCACTTTTTCAATCCCCAATCTGTATGTGTTTCCCCAACCTTCATGCTTTATACTTTTGCAGAAGGATAGATTACATTCTTACAGAAGAAAAGGCATCAGCATTTACTAGCAAAATCGCAATAAAATATACCAAACAATTACTGCTGAGTTTCTGGTACATGATATATAATGAAGACTGCCTTCAAAATTCATGCCAGTTCATATATAAAATTTACTGTAAATACAAAAGCTACCTAGAAGCACATTCACTTAATTTTTAACAGAATTTATGCTTCTGTCATGGAAAAGGCATAAAAGTGAGGCAAAAAGCTGCTCAGCTTATAAACATTAGCTTCCTAGAGAAAGAGCCAGTTGAAACTTTAAAAAGATTGTGCAATTTTTCCTGAAAAACACAACTTTCCACTACTTGGTATTTTCTCATGCAATATAATAATTTGATTGCAAGACTTTCAGAGTCTTTGCTCAACACCACTTTCTCCAAACAGCTGCCTGGCACAACGTGCTTTTCCTAGCAGCTATCCCAGGCAACCCAATCCAGAAATATCTGCCAGCAAGCTTATTTCAGAATTATTTGAAAGAGGAATCAAAGCCGTCCTCAGTGACGGTGAAGCTATAGCTCTGTTGTATAAAATGCACACATGCAGAGAGGTAGGTCCAACCCTACCTGCCCAGCTCCTTCGTTCCTCCAGCCCCAGCCCTAGAGATTCAATGACCCAGCTTGCTTTAAAGCTGGGAGTCCATTTTATGTTATATCACTACTGGTAAGTGAAACCATAACTGAGTCTTTCCAGCTACATCGTTCTAAAATGAAATGAAGGATGGTTAGATAAATTAATATTTCCTTTATAATATGACTCTTTCCTCCCTCAAACCAAATTGTTAAAGTAATATGTCAACTCAAACACAGAAGTTGTTTTCTTAACACCTCAACACTTTCAATAAATCACCAGAGCCCTTTGGTTAGTCACAAATTTGTGAAACCTAACAAATTGCTTTTCCACAGTTCAATTTGGCTCTATGTAAAATGGGCGTAATACCACTATTCATTTCATGATCCTGTCAAAATTTTGCATAGCATCTGAATTCTGAAACTTTCTGAAACTGCTTTTCAGTCTCTCCCCACATCTTTTCAGGATTAAAAATTTCTCTCAAAAGACAAAGCTCATAGTGAAAGATCTGGGCAGCACCATGAGTTCACTTTTACTCTGTAGGGGTTTCCCAACCTTGCATGCCACCCTGTGAGGTGTCCCAAAAGGTGACATTTTGCTCATCAGCAACTGCCTGTGACCTGCTGGTGACATTTGCAGGAAGAGACAAAACACAAGATTTTCAGAACAAACTAGTACAGAATATTTAGTAAGGCTTTGAGCATAGCTACGGAGGTCCTGAAAAACCCTAGAAATGCCTTTTCTTTTTTTTTTTTTCCAGCTTTATTGTACAAAATGGAGAGAGAGAGAAAAATCCATTCTTTAAGAAGTTTTCAAAACGTTAGAGAAAAGATATTAAAGCAGGTGGGAAAAAACTTTGCAGAAAGTCTTGGAAGAAGAGAGGAAGTCACACTAGAGATCGGCAGATGCTTATACCACCCTTGGAATTTATTTCTTCACTTGGTGAGGACACATTTATTTTGTCTTTGTTATTTTAATGATTTATGTAATGATTGTTTTAAACACTGCAGATCCACCTTTTGAAGTTATGCTACAGCTATTATAAACTCTCAGCAGAAGGAAAGCAAAATCAAGCTCAAGAAAGGACAAGATATCAAACTAAAAAGGAGGAAAAAGCAGACACACATAACAGAGAGCACGACTACAAGAAAAAGAAAGAACTGGAAAAGTCAAAATGATAAATACCAGAAAGCATGGAACATGTCTCAGACTTGAACATTATGCTTGATTGATATTTAGGGCATCAGCTGAATGCATCTTGCTGGCATCTTTGGTCAAAGAAAGGCATTGCCTTCTCAATGGAAAGACTGAACTCTGGATAGGAGTCGTGGTCCTGAGGAGGCAAAAGAACTCAACTCCCCCATCCCCTCTGATGGGTGCATGCACAGTAATGCACAACCTCAGTCCTCCCTCCCACAGGCACTCACTGCTGCAGGTGCGGGACCTGAGTGCTGCCCTCCCCTCCTCCCTTTCAGCGGGTGGGAATTCCCACCCACTTGGAAAGCCATCTCTAAGGGGAACCTACATCTAAAAAATGGCCCCATTCAGCCCCACACAGCCTACAGGAAGGGGAAGAGAAGAGGAGAAGGATGTCAGTGTGAAGGCAACCTTTCCTGCAGGGTGGGATGGACTGAGAGACAGCTGCAAATGCAAGTAAGTAAGTAAATAAGCAAACAAATAAAGTTGCATAGCTAGAGTAGTTTCTAACATCACTTTTATTTTTACATCCTCTGAATGAGCTTTATTTACTCTTAAAAATATCTCCTGAAAAAGAGGCAATCTTTTCAGCTCAGCTTCTAAGATCCTACAAATATGTTGTAAATACAGGGTTTCCATATTATATGCTGCAAATATTTCCACCTGACCACTACCCCTCAAAGCAGTCTATTTAAAATGACTTCCAGACTTCAAGTCCAAAGCAAATCCTATAAAACGGAGCAAATATACTTACCTCATTAAAATGTACAGATCTACTGCAGAGGAGTACACTTGCCTGCAAATTGCCTCCCACACAGCTACTCGATCCTTCCTTCCCAGGTGACTAAAGCCTTCCAGAAAAAATCCTGCTTCATTTCAAGACACCAAGTACCACAATCCAACTTTTCAGTTGTCTTTAACCCCCTTCTCATCTGCCGTAAGTTCCTCAGTATTTTTTCTGCTCACCTGCTGAAGGCCCCCACTGCCAAGCACAGAGGAGGATTCTGCTCACGTGTGCCTAACACGTTTGGACCCTAACCTCCTCTCCATCGCAGGGCAATATCCAGACAACAGTTACCATGTCAGCTTCAATTTCTGCAACTAAGCACCCTTATGCCTGACAGGCCTTCCAACAACTGGTCCCCTCTCCTCAATCCCTATAGACCCCAATGCTTGTCACGTCTTCCTCCTGCCAAGGCCACAACGTGGCCACCTTGTTGGCAAGCAGGCACTGGTGAGCTCACAAAGGTGTGGGCTTTGGGCTCTGCCCGCCCTGCAGCACCTGCTCTGGGGCCTCAGTATCCTCGGTGTGGTACCCACAGCTGGCAATTCCTGTCAGAGGGAAGAGCCAGGGTAATTCAAAGGACAGAGAATTCAGATTTGCTCCAACTGATAAAGGAAGATGGACTAAAACTTTTCAAAACATCACCTTAACGTCAGGACAACACAAATAAGGTTTTTAAGAGGAAGGTGTGACCTTAGCAGCTTACATTCTGAGATGGCCAAACTAAGATTTTCTTAAAGGCATGATTTCTGGAAAGCAGCTTTACAGAAGTTCTTGGAAGTCATGCGTCAGGTCCTTTAGGAAACCTCAACTGGGACAGGAGAAATCAGGGACGTAGTAAATCATTCTGGTAATGTAATGCTCTATATTTGCAAGCAGATGCAGCTGACCTCTACTGGAACAAAGTCACCAAAATCTACTAAAAATACTTAGTATACTGAAGAGAACCAGGAATAATGTACTATGCCTGAAAGCAGAAAAACACCTACATTCATGACATGCCTGCAAACATAAACAAAACAGACCTGTTTCACCCAAACTTTTCTTTAGGGACAGAGGCATACAAATATTGCACCTATTAATATACATCTAAAATAAAACAACTAGTATTTCTTTATGCAGTATTATAATTAGAGCATTAAAGAAGTCAATGATAAGGCCTCAGGTCTCACAGGTCACAGGTCTCATGAATTAAAGGCACTTGTCACATTGGATGCACTAACTTACAGCATTTACCTAAGAATTTATAGTGATCACTACGCCATACAATACCTTGATGTGATACTTCTATCTGATCAAAACGAAGATGTGACACACAACATCTCCAATATTTACTAATATAAAACTATCTGGAAATTTTCCACTCTTCCTGAGACAATCCAAAACCTCAGCCTCGCATTCCCAAGCTTCTTTCTCACTAGCAGATAATTTTTGCTATATATAAATATTCACATATCATCTAAAAATCATGAAGAGCCATAAGCAAGTTATAATTACTTTTTCCTTTTCAGAATGAAGTAAGGTAAGATCTGCATAAATGTAGAAAACCCTGAGCTGATATCACTGATGTAAACAAAACTGTACTTTTGCTACATTTTAAAAATATTTTCACTCATCTATTCCAAGGTAAAATTTCTGGGTTGAATGTACTCCTATACAATACATTCCAGGAAAATACTACAGGTAACAAATGCAGATGTACTACAGCTAAGCCTCAAGGCCATTTTTCAACTTTATCTTACCAGAAGTTACAGCATGTTCTCGAAATTCAATTTCCCTTATTTTGGAAATAAACTTATTTATCTGTAGGTTACCTTAGAAACCTTCTCCCCCTTATAACACCTAGAAAAAATTTTCAAGTAGCTAAAAAATGGACTTATTTCACTTTTCAGCTGCCTAAATTGAGAATAAATACTAGTGATGATGAAACAATGACATATCTTCATGAACAAATCTTTATGTATTTTGGAAGCAGAACTTTTCATCTAACTGTTTTACAAACCACAAAAGTTCATGTTAGGTCAGGAATACAATTTTTATTCTACTAAGATTCCTTTCTATCTTCCTTCCAGATGGAGTACACATTTAATACCTATCCTGATGTTACCTTTCAGTCTCCCAGAAACTGGGATGTGGAAGGCTCCACTGTATTTTCTATTCCACATATTTCTTCTGTTAATATATTATAAACCTGAAAACAACAGTTTAGATCAATGTGAAGTTGATCTCCCTCAAGCCAAAATTTATGGTCTTATTCTCCTAAGCTTTGGGACTCTTAAGACAACTTCTCATCTAAAACACACATTAAACCT